TCTTCATGTTATTAACTTGGTAGAATGTACTCAATATTATGTTTAAATTTAGAAAGGTCCCCAAGGTATGCGTTTTACCTTGAGGATCTTTTGACTGATAGTATATTTTTTAGGTCRACAAGACTTGACATGTTGTTATATTTGACAAATATGTATCTACTCACAAACTTAAATATGTTTATTTAGTATAATTGTGCTTTTAGGATTTTTAAAAGGTACTTCTGCTTAATAATGGATATAAAAATGAGTTCCTATTAGATACTTAAGTGCTATTAAAATTCCTCACCTTCTGCAATTTCATACTACTTTGTGATAATTCTTTCTTCAGTAGTTCAAGGATGCTGTCCTAAAGGTTAAATACAGAGTTCATTGGTTAAGCATTCAGCATGAGAAAACTGCTTGAAACCTGTTTTCATAAATGAACATTAAATGCATAAGTAAATTTAAACATACGGTATACTGTCTTTTAAAAATATTGTTGAATTCTAAGGACATTTCTAAATTCTTGTGAGGAAAACCAGTTAAGTAGTAAAAGGTAGAAAACTTCTTGGTCTATATCCATACTGATGTGTCATGTCTAGAAGCTGTTGAGTATTTCTAAAGTATTTGGACATTTTGATAAGCATGTTATCCCTGACATTGTATTTTATGTTTATCATCTAGAAAGATGGAGTGCTGGTGTACGTTGCGAATTTCCGCCTGCTTGCAGAGCTTTCCAGCCCTTTCGTAAATCAGCGGTAGGTTACACTATCATTAATTATTTAAAAGTTGTGCTGTTTATTTTCAGTTTTAAAAAACTTTTCCCTCAAGRTGCAAAACCTACCATATAAAAAATGAGAAGATGTGGTATGACTTATTGTCACCATTATCCACATGGGGAAAATGAGCCTGGGAAAGGTTCAGTTGAGTAACTTATCCAAGGTTCCCCTGTTGGTAAGTGGTGGTAGAAGCTTTTGAACCCAGCTTTCTTTGCACTAGACTGTGCTTTATGCCTGGTTCCAGGACATTCATTCTTTCACCCTTCATGATGTACACTGCACAGTGAACTGTATTCACTGCATCTTAGAATTCAGTGGGGATTCTTCATGGCATCATTTTGGCTCATCTTAGGTTTAGTTTATATTCCTGACGCTAGCACCTTTTCTGTMCCCAAATTGTGATATCAACACTATCTTTGACTCTCATTTAAAAAAACAACTTTTTAATTTTCACTTAAAAAAAATTAAAAGGCTAGTTTTATTTCATATGTGGACACAGCATAAGTAACTAACAATGTATAATATTGATAGCTATTGCTAGAGAATGYTTTTAACCATCCTAATCATTTTTTTTATGGGGGTACCAGGGATTGAACTCAGGGGCACTTGATCACTGAGCCACATCCCCATCCCTATTTTGTATTTTATTTAGAGACAGGGTCTTAATGATTTGCTTAGAGCCTTGCTTTTGCTGAGGCTGGCTTTGAACTTGTGATCCTTCTACCTCAGCCTCCTGAGCTGCTGGATTACAGGCATGTGCCACTACTCCTGGCTGTCCTAACCATTTTCAAAAATACAGTTCAGTAGTGTTAAGTATACTCAGTAGTATTAAATATGTTGTTGTGTAACAGATCTCTAGGTCTTTTATCTTGAAAAATCTAGATTATATTCATTAAACACTAGTTCCCCCTCCCCAAAACTACTTTAAAATTCCATTTGAATGGTCCATAGAGTGTTTGTYCTTTTGTGACTGGTTTATTTATCTTAGCATATTGTCCTCAATATTCATCATGTTGTAGCATGTGATAGGATTTCCTTTTTTAAAACCAAACCTATTCTTTTGTATCTGTATGCTACATTTTCTTTATCTGCTCATTCTTCCATGGATATTTAAATTGCTTGCCCCTCTTGGCTATTGTAAATAATGCTGCACTGCACATGGGTATGTAGATAAATCTTTGAGATCCTGTTCTGAATCCTTTTGGACATATATTCATAACTAGGGTTGATGAATTATATAGTAGTTTTATTTTTAGTTTTTTAGGGAATTTCCACACTGTTTTCCAGAGTAGGTACATTTTTTTTTATTCCTAGCAACAATGCACAAAGGTTCCAATTTCTTCATGTCCTCCCCAACACTTGTTATTTTCTATCATTTTTCTAGCTTCCATTTTAATGGACGTGAAGCAATAGCTCATTGTGGTTTTGATTTGCATTTTTCTGTGATTCATAATATTGAGTATTGTATTATTCAGGTTTTCATCCACTGTGACCAAAATACCTGACAAGAACAACTTAGAGGAAGAATAGTTTATTTTGGTTCATGGTTTTAGAGGTTGAGTCCATGGTCAGCCGACTTCATTGCTCTGAGCCCAAGATGAGGCAGAACAACACCATGGTACAAGTGTGGCAGAGGAAAGCTGGTCCGCCCCTGACTTGACAGGAGGCAGGGGGAGAAAGGAAGGGGCTGCAGGGAAGGTGTGCCCCCAGAGACCCACCTCCTCCAACTATGCCCACCTACCTACAGTTACCAAATTCAAATGTGGTTATTTCACTCAAATTAGGATGGACTGATTAGCTTAAAGCTCTCAGCCATTTCAGCTCTGAATTATCCCTGCATTATCACAGATGCTTTTGGGGGATACCTCATTTCCAAAAACAAGTATCTGCATATACTTATTTGCCATTTGTGTTTCTTCTTTGAAAAATTATTTATTCAAATTCAAAATTATTTATTTGCCCATTTGTTAATTGGGTTATTTGGATTTTTATTTTTAAATTATCAGATATATGATTTATAAATATATTATTGCATTCATAGATTGGTTTTTCATTCTGATGATTGTTCCCTTTCGTGTGCAGAAGTTTTTAGGGTTGTTGTAGTTCTATTTTTTGTTTTTATTTTTTTGTTGTCTGTGCTTTTGGRGTCATATCAAGAAATTATTGCCAAATCTAATGTCCTGAAGCTTTTCCTTATATTTTCTTCTAGGAGTTTTATAATTTGATCTTAAATTTCAGTCTTCAATCCATTTTGAGTTAAAATTTATAAGTAATATAAGGTAAGGGTTCATTTTTTTGTATGTGGATGTTTGGTGTGCCCAGTACCATGTGTTGAAGAGACGGTCCTTTCTCCATTGCATAGTCTCAGTATCCTTATCATTGGTCACTTGGCCAGATATGGAAGGGATTATTTCTGAGTTCTCTATTCTGTTCCATTGGTGTGTGTGCAAATCAGTCTAATCTTTGGGCACATAATGTCTTTCCATTGATTTAGATCTATGATTTCTTTTAACACGTCTTATAGTTTTAAGTATAGACAACTTTACCCCTTTGACTAAATTTATTCATGAGTATCTTATCTTTTTTGATGTTATTATAAATGAGTGCTTTTTAAAATTTCTGTTAAAATTGATCATTTAAAAACTTGTAGATTTATAGACAAATTGCAAAGATAGATCAGAACTCACACATACTCCTTGCCTAGTTTTCTCAAGGTTAACATTTATATTACCATAAAACATTTGTCAAAACTAAGATATGTTACTGTTAAGTAAATTTCAGACCTTTTGGGCCTCATCAGTTGTTCTATTAGTGTCCTCCATCTGCTCTAGGGTCCATACCAGAGTACCACACTGCATTTTGTTGTCTCCTCAATCTGGGGAAATGTCCTYACAATCTCTTCTGATCTGTAAAAGTTTCTTAGTCTTTTCTTATTTTTCTTGCTCTTGACTCCTTGTAATGGAGTACTGGCAAGTTTTCTCACAGGTGCTTATCTCATGAATAGACACAACTTACAGGACTTCAGAAATACCCCCACAGAGGTGAAGGACTCTTCTTGTCATTCCTTATCAGGGATTCTTTACAACTCCATGATATCACTAGAGATATTAACCTTTAACACTTGGTTGAGGTCGTGTTTTTTTGCCAGATTCCTCCATTATAGACTGCTGACCCCCCATATCCTGTTCTTGAAAGCATGACTTGAAGTATAACCTACCCTCAAGGCACTGAAAGAGAGAGGGAGTTGTTCATKTTTGACATTGGCTTTATTGTTATCCTCTACCATGCTTCTCATTTAGCAGTGTCTGGTAGTTCTTTTTTTGTGAATTGTTTGGTCCCTCTTTCCATGTCCATGGTTCCTGTTTAGGCCTTCAGGATTTGCACTGCTTCCATCACTTCAGAGCTTTCTGACTGAATTGCCTAATTCCAGATTCTTCCTATCTCAACCTTCTCCTCACAYTGATACCAGAGTCATCTTTCCTAGTTCCACTTTCAATACCTATTTTCTGACTACAAATCACATCCACACTGATACCAGAGTCATCTTTCCTAGTTCCACTTTCAATACCTATTTTCTGACTACAAATCACATCCTGTTTATTCTGCTCGCTTTGGCTTTGGAAGTTCTCTGTGATGTGCTCTGTTTCCAGCCACATTTCTTAGTACTCAGACGCAGTTTTATAGTCTGTCTACTACTTGAGGGTTGTTTTCATGTTTCTTCCTTTGTTTCTCCCATATCTTTTATTTTCCCCCAATTGTTTTGGGGGTACTGGGTATTGAACCCAGAGGAACTTTACTAATAAGCTACACCCGTAACCCTTTATTTTTTATTTTGAAACAGGGTCTCACTAAGTTGGTAAGGCTGGTCTCAAACTTGTAATCCTCTTGTCTCAGCCTCCTAAGCATTCCTCCCCCCAAACTTAAAATAATTACTTACCCTTCAAATTCTAAACCCCCAATCCCCAAACCAAAGGAAAGGCTTTTATGATTATATGTTGTCTTTGTATCATAGTCACATGTTTTATATTCTTAGGTGGTACAATAGATTCAGCATGTCTAAAATAATGCCACATATCTCTCCCTGTGTCTCATGATTGACATCTGGCCCTCTTCCCAGTTGCTCCTGTTCAACTTGTGGGAATCATCCTGTTTCTTCCTCATCTGTTCTGTCACTATGTTTCTTATCTCTGTTGCCTCTTTTCCATCTCTACTGTTGGGCCCTAGTTCATCACCATCTTGCCCCCATTGCCTTACCTGCTTCTAACTCTGCACTGTCCAGCAGAGTCACCATGAGCTACAGTATATGTAAAGTAGCCCTTCTCTGAARTGCTCGGGACCACAGGTGTTTCAGATTTCAGACTTTTTAGGATTTTGGAATACTTGCATATGCACATAATGTGCACATATGCACATCTTGGGGAAGACACTCAAGTCTGAACATGACATTCATTTATGTTTCATATACACTCTATACACAGAGCCTACAGAGAAGTTTATATAATATTTGTAGTATACCTGTATTTTGACTATCACCCATCACATGGGTTACATGTGGAATTTCCCACTTATATCACTGTGTCAATTCTCAGAAAATTTCAGATTTAGGGTTTTTATGATTAGGATGTTCAACCTATATGACTGTTTATATTTAAATTAATTAAAACTTAAAAATCAGTTCCTTAGTCTGACTTCATAGCCCCATGTGGTCCAAGGCTACTGAATTGAGCAGCATATCAAAAGGAGCATTTTCATTGTTGCGAAAATTTCCTTTGATCGGTGCTACTCTAGACCAGCTTGGCAAACTATGCCTTGTGAGCTAACCCTACTGCTGTTTTGTAAATAAAGTTTTGCACCAGCATCTATGTTCCTTTGTTTACCATGACTGCTTTCTTCTGTGGTGACAGAAAATGTATGGTCTCCAGAGGCAGTGACATTTATGTCATTTTCTGACTCTTTTACAAAAGGTTTGCTGATGTCTGCTCTAGACCATACACCTGCCTCCAGTCTTGTCCCCCTTTCTTCTCTCGTTTATATWATTATTGTCTACAGTGAAGATAATATGCAGCTCTCCTGGTTGAAACCCCTCAGTGGCTCCTGCTGCTTACAGAATATAGTATGAGTCTTTAACATCACACAGAAAGCTCTCCAAGTGGAGCTGTCTTACCTCTTTCTGGCACATTTTCCCAAAAATCTGATGTCATGCCAACTTTTCCATTTTCTGTCAAGGGCCTCCTGTCATCTTAGTCATTCTTCAGYACTCAACCCAGAGATCATTTTTATCACCAATCCCCATCTCTTTCTAGGCTGGGTTGAGTACCTCTCATTTATGCTTCAAATAAAAGCAACATTTATTTACTAAGTTTTGATTAGTTGCAAAAATATGAATGTAATTGCTGGATGGGGCTATAAACCATCTTCTAAAGAGGCTACAATTTTGCATTCCCACCAGCAATCAATGAGTATCCTGTTGGTCTACATCCTCATTAGTGCTTGTTTTTGTTGTTGTTGTTGTTTTAAMCAWTTTATGGCTATATAGTAGCATCTCATTTTATTTGTATTTTCCTAATACAATGCTGACTGTTGTTTGTTTGTGTTTTGTTTTGAGTTACAGTCTCACTATGTTGTCCAGGTTAGTCTTAAACTCCCTGAGCTCAAATGATCCTCTCACCTCAGTGTCTGAAATAGCTGGGACTATGGATGTGAGCTACTGTACCCTACATTAAGCATCTTTTCATGTGCTTGTTTCCCTTTTTCTCTAAAAAGATGTTTAAGATCTTTTGCCTTAGTTTTAGTTGGATATTTTGCATACTGGTGAGTCTTTGTATATGTTGAATTCTTTTTTTATTTTATTTTTTTAAATACACAACAGCGGAATGCATTACAATTCTTATTACAYATATAGAGCACAGTTTTTCATATCTTTATATATAAAGTATGTTCACGCCAGTTCATGTCTTTATACATGTACTTTTTTACATTACAATTCTTATTACACATATATATATATATATACCACAATTTTTCATATCTCTGTTTGTATAAAAAGTAGGTTGACACCCAATCATGTCTTAATACATGTACTTTGGATAATGATATCYATCACATTCCACCATCCTTGCTAATCCCCTGCCTCCTCCCTTTCCCTCCTACCCCTCTTCCCTATCTAGAATTCATCTATTCCTCCAAGGCTCCCGCTCCCTACCCCACTATTAATCAGCTTCCTTATATCAGAGAAAACATTCAGCATTTGGTTTTTKGAGGTTGGCTAACTTCACTTAGCATTATCTTCTCCAGTGCCATCCATTTACCTGCAAATGCCATGATTTTATTCTCTTTTATTGCTGAATAAAATTCCATTGTATATATATGCCACATTTTTTTTATCCATTCATCCACTGAAGGGCATCTAGGTTGGCTCCACAGTTTAACTATTGTAATTTGTACTGCTGTAAACATTGATGTGGCTGTGTCCCTGTAGTATGCTGTTTTTAAGTTCTTTAGGTGTGGACTGAGGAGAGGGATAGCTGGGTCAAATGGTGGTTCCATTCCCAGATTTCCACGGAATCTCCATACTGCTTTCTATATTGACTGCACCAATGTGCAGTCCCACCAGCAATGTATGAGTGTACCTTTTTCCCCACATCCTCACCAACACTTGTTGTTTGTCTTCCTAATAGCTGCCATTCTGACTAGAGTGASATGAAATCTTAGAGTAGTTTTGATTTGTATTTCTCTGATTGTTTTAGATGATGAGCATTTTTGTTTGATTTGATTGATTGATTGTATATCCTCTTCTGAAGAAGTGTCTGKTCAGGTCTTTGACCCATTTGTTGATTGGGTTATTTGTTTTTTCGGTGCTTAGCTTTTGAAGTCTTTGTATATGTTGGATTCACATACTTTTRTCATATATGTGTGCACTAAATATTTTCTCCCAGCATATAATTGTATTTTTATTCTCTTAATAGTGTCTTTCACAGAGTGAGTTTTTTATTTTAGTGAAGTCCAGCTTACCAATGTCTCTCTTTCATAGATTGCATTTTTGGTGATGTTATCTAAAAACCAGCCAACCTGATATCATGTGGATATTTTCCCCTGTGTTTTCTTCTGGAAATTTTTGTAATTTTGAACTTTAAATGCAGGCCTTTAAGCCAATTTGGGTTAATTTATGAAYGAACTGTAAGTTCTCTGCCTACGTTCTTTTTTCTGCATATGGACATACAGTTTTGCACATTTTTCACTAAATGACTTTGTCCAAAATCATCTCAAGTATATCTGAGTGAGGCTATTTCTGAGCTTTTTCTTCTGTTCTGTGGTTTTATTCACCTATTTCGTCACCAGTGCCATGCTGTCTCATGCTGCAGCTTTATAGTAAGAGCCGCAGTGGGTGCTGACTGTCCCCAGCTTTGTTCTTTCCACTATTGTGCAAGCTGTTCTAGCTTTCTGCCTTTCCAYTTATATTAAGGTTTATACCTTAAGAGGATGTTCCCTGACTTTAAAAACTGAAACATAAAATTAAGATGGTTAACTCCCAGCTTTTCAGAATATGATGATTCTTTAATTCTCTTTGCAGATGGTTCTTTGAAACTCTGAAGTATTCTAAATTTTCCAAAGCCAACGTCATCAATGGAATTCTCATGACGGTGGTATTCTTCGTCGTGCGGATAGTAGCAATACCTCCTTTGTATGGCTTCATGCTTGCTGTGTATGGAACAGAACCCTACAGAAGGCTTGGATGTTTACTCCAGTATTCCTGGATTTTTACTTGTATTGTTTTGGATGTGATGAATGTCATGTGGATGATCAAAATTTCAAAAGGGTGCATCAAAGTCATCTCTCTCATGAGACAAGAGAAAGCCAACAATCGTCTTCAGAATGGAAAAGTTGACTAAAGGTGTGCTTTGTCAAACACCTTCATTTAGATAAGCAATCCTCATTACTACCCAGCATTATACCTACTAATAGGATGAAATCTTGGCATGTTCTTGTGCTTTGTTATTAATTATAATTGTTATTCAGGGTTTCAGTGTCATTCTTTTTAACCTTTAGAAAAGAGAAACTAAAATTTAGTTTTCATTCCAAGATTTCCTCTTTTCTTCTGCATTATAAGCATGGTTAAAATCTTAAAGGTTTAAATAAAAGTTATAAGTGTGGTGAATTTTTCCAGAAATCTCTTGGCCTACACTGGTATTTTTCTATGTGGAAAGAGGACTGTGATGATTTGGCACACTTGATGTGTCACCAGTTTTGCAGAAAGGATGGGAACTACTTTGAAATCTGTAAATAGCACTCAACATTTTGTTATGCTGCACTCTTCTCATGTCAACACCTATATGGGGGTAATTTCTAAATTGTTGACATGTTCTTTTCTTAGGTTATTAGAAATGACTTTTTTTCATTTCAGATATACATTCATCTATTAATGATGAAGGATTTTACTCACTTTGGAATATTTCATTAGTTTAATTAGTAGAAAATACTTCTGCATTTTACAGTTTTTTAGATGTCACTTTCTTCTATTTTTAGTATTTTATCAAATTATCTCTTATGACAGACATTATAAACCTCCTTAGTGGATGAATTTCTTCTCATAGAAATGCATGTTTGGTACATGACCACTTAGGCTGATAGGAGGAATCATTAAGAAAAAAGTTTTAATATTACTGTTTGTCTGCTTCCCTTGCACTTTTTCTATGAAAAAATATTTATATTTGCAAAATCTCCCCAAGTTCAGAACCCATCATCACCAATACCAATTTTATGCAATATGGATTTGTTCTGCCCCTAAAATAATCCTCTTTTTGGTAAAACCAAAACTAAAAAATCAGTATTTACTTTACTCACAATTTATTATCATGCTTGCTTTGAATTTTTCTTAAAGAGCAGGAGGGAAATAAGGTTATTTAATCCAAGCATTCTGGTTTTCAAAATTATTGTCTTATGTGAAGATAAATGACTGTTTTTTCTGTGTGTGTGTATATATATATGTGTGTTCACTTTGTTTCTTGAAATCCAAATATAGAATTATATATTTAGTTCTTAATATCTTTATTTATTTTTTTCAAGTACTTGACTTTAATGATTGTTCTTACTTAAAAAAAAAAAAAGATTTAGTTCAACTAGTGGTGAATACTTGAACTTAATTAAACCCGAACCTAAAGATCTAATCCATTGTTTTTGGGTTTAAAGGATAATGTTTGATTCATTTTCATTGCTCATGTTAGGATGATGAAAGGAGGTTAGCTGAATATCATCAATACTTTTAATTTGACTGTCCAATGCAGATAGAGCCTGATAAGTTCTAGAACTCAAAGACAAATTGAAATCTCAGTCAATAACTAAATGATAAAATAAGGTTGATTGGTACATTTATTTTTTGAAGACAAAGTAATGCAAATTGTAGGTATTTATTTTTAAAGCAGTTAATATTACATTGATAATTGGTTACTAAATTTATTGCTGCCCACATCAGAGGCATTTAAATATGTACTGGTTATCTAGAGGGTGAGGGTGTACAAAACAAGTGATTTTTGTCTTGTCCTTGCTCTTTTGCAAGCAAAGTAGCTTTTTTAAAAAGGAAGACATTTATATTGCAAAACTATTTTGGAAATTGTTTCTTTAGAAAGTAAATGTTGAAATAAATATTTTTGACTCTTTGCATATTTCTATAATTCTGAACACAGATTTTAAACCCACCATCAAAGTGACAAAAATATAAAGCTATGTTAGTGTGTCTCCATATAGCAGTTTCAATAGTTGTTTCATGCTTTCAACTTTTTTTTTTTTTTT